GCCTTTCCTCAAAATTTTCCAGTGAACCACAATGAACCAGTGGTAATGGCAAAGCATTCCACTGACTAATTGTTTTTGGAAGAAATGAATTCGCATATACATTGACACGCTGTTGTGGCACTTCGTATGTGTAATCGTTTACACTTCTTAGGTTTCTTCCACGGCGTGGCATTAAGTATCTTGTTGTGTTTATGTTTAATTTATTTTTTGACAATAAAAACAAGAACTTCATCCTTGCCAATTGCCGTCGTTCCGCTAAAGTGGGCAGTTGAAGAGAGCGAAGCATTTCTGTTTCTGACTCAGTCGAGGAGTACTTTGTTCACCCCCTATTGTTTGAGGCTGCCATAGAAAAAAGTGCTTAATTAAAAAGTGATATTTAAAATGTTCCAACATAGACTAATGACTACGGAGTGGAAGTATGCAAGAGTTTTTTTTTTAGGCTTTTCTTGGTTATTTTATAGCAAAATGAACTATCCATTTTTAAAAGCAGTTGGAATTGTATTACAACTTTGATGAGTAATTAATTTAAAAGACTTGCACTCTCAATTCTGCTCCCATACTTGCGTTCTATACACATACAGGTTTCATCTCCCACATACAGGTTTCCATTGCAAAAAGAATTATCATTTTACCTGCATAGCTGCAAAGATATTGAGGCCTCAAAATTGAACAGTCGTAAATTTACTCTTTTGAGAAAAATGGAAAAAACTGAAAACACACAGCTTCTTCAAAAAGCAACAATCATAGTGCGCATGTTTTGAAATCCTCATAAAGGTGCTCATAAATTCGTAGCAGAGCTTCTAACACAGGTGCCCGCCAATCATAAAGAAGCCTCGAAGTCTGTTCCCCATTTTTTTTGCAGGTCCTACATGTTAACAGCACCAAGAATCTGGACAGTTAGAATGAAATTACAAAAAATACCACTTCCTGGAGTGTGAAAATTTGCAGAGAAATAGAAAAAAACTTGCAGAAACCAATTATGTCAATTTTAAAAAATGAATTTTTTGTCACTTTTTGGTCCCGAAGACCAGTCTGCCCCCTTAACTTGCTACAGCCTACAATGCAGCACAAACACGTCTCGAACGCGGTGTCTTTAGTCGGTGCCAGGCATGAAGCACAACCGTATTCCAAACGCGCTATATTGAAGACGGTGACAAGTCAAGTTCAAGACAAAAAACGATTCTGGTTACGGGAGAAAGATAGTGCACAATCCTTTTTCTCTTTATTTTGATGGTGTTTAGCTTTTTGCGAATGCCGCCGCATAATTTCTACACTTTACTCAAGCTGCTCCGCCCCACCATCTCCAAGCCAAGTACTCTGTGGTGGCCATGGTGCCACAAACCCAGAGGAACGCACTCGTTTTGTATCTGGCGGCAGAAGGCACACAATTAAAAAAAAAACAAAAAACTGGGCATCCTGATTAGTTTCAGTAGCTTTGCGACTGCAGTTGCGCGACTGGAAAATCGGTCAGAAAGTGACTAGCCAAAGCAGTCGCTTTGCGACCACTCACGACTGTTAGCAACCAGTCCCAAATGGTCGTGCGACCACTGCTAGTTGCCAGTGTGCACCAACTTTAACACTTCCATGTTTAAATGCACATATAAACTCAATAAAGTGGACGGGAGTATGAACGCTGCTGTGGCTTGGTGCAATGAATGCTTTATGCAAAAATTGTAGGTCTGGTCCCTGCCAGCGGAGAGTTTAGCTTTTCGTCCACTTTAACATTTCCCTCACTAATACAAATGACATCCCCTAAACTCTCCTTGGTTTCTCGCCTATTATACTTATAATTTACACCGTGTACTGTCGAGCCCGCTTATAACAAACCTGAGGCTGACGTGGCATCCGTTTGCTGTATCCCGAAGTTCGTAGTAAATGAAACACAGCTTCAAAAAAGTTGCGAGTGAAAACACAAACTTTTTTTGCCCAAAAAAAGTCTGTGACACATGCGTTTCGAAGAGCAGAAGCATTAAGAGCAGTCTCGAGTTTATTTCAAATGGCAGCATGCCCGTTCGCCGAGGCCCGTGGCATAAGCTGCATGAGGAACTGGCTCCAAAATTTCGTTGTCCTCGCAATCCGATTCCTCCAAATTGCTCTTGCCATGTACTTCAATCACAATGCCCAAATCCGTGCACGGTTCTACGGTATCGGCATCATCATCGGCCGTAATGAAACCATCGCAACAGAACAGACTTCCCACCCGCTCTACCATGTCAGAGTCGATGGCGCGCTGCCACAAATTGCCGCCGCAGTAGTTCTGTTCAGAAGCTTCAGGCTCAGCATTGGGCCCGATGTCGATGACGAAGTCGGCCTCGCGAAAACAGTTTCGCGTGCATGTAGCCATCACCGCCGCCCACGAAATATTCACCATCTCCACAGCTGAATACCGAAACGCCCGAAGCGGTAAGTTGGCTGCCAGATGATCAACAGCTACGAGCAAGCACTCCGCAACACGGCACCTAACGCACGGATTACGCTCAAGCCAAGCGGTCACATTTCCGACGTTTTGTTGAGCAGCAGGGAAAAGCATGCAAGTCCTCCCATCTGCCATCGTGACCACACATGCACGCCAAGAGCGAGCAAGACGTGCACACGCGACGCATATACAAGAACGCGTGGAACAGCTCTGGGCCCGTTTCTAGTTAGAAAACGAAACTGATTCGAGCCAGCGTGGCTGGCATTGCACAGCCGTGGAGACGGGCGAAGGGGTTGTGATCAAGAGAGGAGAGCAGATTTGCAAGAGAAAGGCAAGGAGTTGCGATAGAGTGAAGAGAGGGGAGGATACGGCGGGAGGGCAAGCTTGAAACCAAAACACACGGGAAACAGGCAAGTGGGGTAGCTTACTTGAAAGGTCCGCGAAACGCGCAACTCGCGCGTAGAATAACTTGGAAAAGAGTGCCTGCGCGTGCAGAAGTCAAAGCACAGCGGCCTGGATCAGCCCGCGCAGCGGTGTTGAAAGAATCGGCGGCCATGGTCAAAAAATTGTTTTGTTGCGCCGGCGGGTTTGCGCAGCCTCACCGACTTCGATATTTCGCGATTCGTTTCGCACAAATGAACAGCCGTTTTCCCGCTTCTGCACGCATGTTCGTTCTAAACGAAAATTCGATTTAAGTGGGGCCGTTATATGTGGACTCGACTGTATGTGACACAGCGAAGCAAGAAGCATTTATGCGATGTGGTATCATTGACACAATGTTAATATTGTCTTGCAGCCTCGAATAGCTCATAAGAGGAAAAGTGTGTGCAGGTTTTCGCTCGAGTTTTCCAGTGTTCTTTTGACATACATCAATACAGAACTTGGTAGAACCACTCATGAGTGCGTGACTTTGTGCATCTATGTCTTGTTTCCAATGCCCAAACATAGTGAGAGGCCTCTTAGAGGTACTCTGAGATGGCATTTCCAACTCTCTATATTTTTTTTGCATTAAATGAGTACTAGACTTCGAAACTTATAAAAGATACTGAAAAGCCACAGTGTGTTCTAAGAGACGCACTCCTGAGAAATGAAACGAATTCACACAAAAGCTATACACAATACAGCAAAGGCTTGTTTTTGAACTAAGTTAATTCGAACTTACGGCTAATTATAACTCACCCCTTGGTCCCAGCAAAGCCCTGCATATTTCTATAGGGTAAAACTCCCAATAAAACGAATGCATCAGTGTCCGTAACTGTTAACTCAAACTGAGAGCCCCCGATTTTTATCCCATTTTCGCAGAATTCGGTGACCCAAGTGGTCACAATGGGTTACTGAACAAAATCAACCTAAATTTACTACAGATGTTCAACAACAAAAAAGCAGCAAGAATATTCAGTTAGTTTGAGCGAATGAGACGAGCGAGTAGGGCGCGGGCCACACGGTTTGATGTACGAATCCTTGTTTATTTTAACATGTTCATGGTGATTTAGGTATAACATTTTAAGCCTTTCTCGATGGCGTCGTATCTATAGAGGTTCAAGGTTCGTGTCTTGTAGTGAACCACTTACGGATGTGTGACAATGATAGGAATTGAAAATGAATCTAATTTTCGTTGTATGCTCTCGATTTCACTTGTGGTTGACTGGGTGTAGGATCCCCAGACAGCACCAGTAGTAGCATATTCTAACAGTTGCCTAATGTATGCCTTTGGAAGTTCACATACATCGCAAATTTCGCCAGACTCTCCTTTAATACTTTCTTTGTATCACTACTACTTTCTTAGTAGTGATATCTTCCACTGAAAAAAAAAAGTAAAGAATGAATAGATAAATGAAAATAAAAAAATTAAGCAACACATTGCAATATTACTGAAAAAAAAAAATGTGTTGAATGTGAAGTTTCACACTCCTTTCTTGACTTTCCCTCCAAACACCTTTCATCTACCAGCCCTGCCGTAAAGTCTTAAAGTGCCTACATATGCATGATGTGGTTCAAATTGCACTCAGCGATGCATGGATATTAAAGGATTTTTGCTTCCCTGAAAAGTGGCACACACCCACTGCAATATATCCCGTGTAGCCAAGTTGGACCAACTTTTGAACCCAGTTACATCAGCAAGATAACCCTATGCGGAGCCTATTTGAGCCTGAACCACCCAGTGACCCAAACAGGGCTCAATGAGATCAGATACGCATGAACAGATGAACTGCACTCGCGTATTCAAACACGACATCCTTTTGCATGCCAGTATAACAACTGGTACAGGCAATGTCTCTTAATAACCCCATGATGTCACAACGAATCTGGTTTCTGAAAATAATGTGGGCCCTGATCTACTGGTTCGAGTCCAAATTATGCCAATATAACCCGAACTGAAAACAGTGGGAAAAAAAGTATGCCCGTTACTTATCCCTAAATTGTCCTGTTTGAATTCACAAGTACCGTCCAGCAAACCAGGTGAACTTCTCAAACAGAGCTCATCATATTAAAATGCAATGTCATTAGCGTTCCTTTGGCTTCCCCACTAGGGCAAAACAAGCAGTCACAAGTTGTCACAACATCACAAATTCATTATGCTTACCTAGTGAAATTGATGTCGGGGTAATTAACGTACTCCGAGTTGCCTTTAAATGTATTTCTTCTTGGAAACGTGCACAAGAATGCATTTGCCAAAAGGCAACCAACTTGCAGTTGACTCATCGACAGCAACTGCTCGTCACCCTGTCTGAGAAGGGGAATTGGCTGGAAAAATGGACGCAAGAAATTGGGATTGTCAGCACTAGCAACACAAATGGTGCGAGGGTAATCTTACATGAGTAATTAGTGCTGGAAGGCGAAGAGCTAAGGCAATTATTTTGGGCAGCAGCACATTGAAGAAACTCTCGGACTCTCTGGGATCTAGTTCCTGGGAAAAAACAATAAATACCATAACAATTTATGGCAGCCATAAGCAGCCATGATAATGGCATATGGCAAAACAAACACACAAGAAAGGAAAAGACATGGCAAGCACAGTCACTCAATAAGAAGAATGTGGCATACATATATAAAGAAAGCATCAAAACAAGAACTAAAGAAACAAAAAAGAAAAAGTTTGTAAATGCTGACATCTCATGCAATTCTCCTGCCATATTTCAAAATTTCCTCAAGCACATCCTTGAGCACAACACCAAAATAACTAAATTTACATTATTGGGTGGCATCGACAATGATTCCAGTAAATCTAAACAGCATCTGAAACCGTCCTGCCTTACAGTTCAAAACGTTTATGCCAAGAACATGGCGCTGATTGATATCAAGGCCAAGGGTAACAAAATTTTATTTTGCCTGAATTGATTGATATAGTAATAATTTCTAGCATTTCATGTTCTAAAACCTCAATATGATTATCAGGCAATTTGTAGGGATGGGCCTGGGAAATTTTATACCACCTGGGATTTTTTTTACTGTACACTTAAATTTAAGTACACAAGCCACTACCATTTCCGCTCCATTGAAATACAACCGCAACGGCAGGGACAGAACCCGCGACTTTCAGCTCAGCCCCTGATTCAGCTTTGTGTACAGTTGCCGAGTACTACAACCCCCACCTCAGCAGCGACTGAACTTGTTAAAAATAAGTATAATATGCGATAGAAAGAATTTTGGAAAAGCTCCAAGGCTAGTAAACGTCCACCCTTCTTTCATTAACGAAACCGAAAGAAAGCGGTAGGACCATGGTTAGAATTGGTTGTGCGGCAGTTAGTTTGATTTTATTTACTTTGTGTTGTAAGCTTGGGGAGGCATGTCAACCGTTGGCAAGCAGCATTGCTTTAATGGCACTTGGTAGAAGCGTGTCCGACCGGATTTGCCGTGATAACGCAGACAGTATGGCGCCAGTATGGTACCCCGCGTAGTTCAGCAGTGCCAGAGACTGCCGAGCATTTCGAGTTCCTGCAAACAAAGGAAAAAGAAACCGACCCCCGCGTGTGCAACAAAAGGGGTGCGACTGATAACACCATTGTGACCTCCTAATTACCTCAAGGCACTTTCAATGGGCCTCTTCCAAGACCCATCGCGGCGCGGTGACTCCTCACATCAGTGGAGCTGCGGTCCAGCCACATGCTGTGTTCACGCACGCTGTTTCAAGGCAGCGCATGTCGCGAAAACCCAGAGATAGCCGAAAACCTTTTGTCCCAGTCCGGCTTAGCTGGCATGTCTTCAACTTAGTGGCATGTCTTCAACTTCTCTGCCTTAATCCTTGCAAATGAGCTCATAAATGGAGCCACGAGCAGTCAGCGAGCAGTTCCTCTCACAGCGCACAGGCGGATCATCCCCGTCATCTAGAAGTTGACAAGTTACAAGGAAGCCATCCTATGACCACATTTCCCAGTACGTGTAGCTCAGTCTAGATAATTGTGCACCACGGAGCTTGCCCATGCCTCTATGACACTTTCTAGTTTTGTTTTATTTATATTTTGGTCGTGTTATTTGGGGAGAGGGCATGAGCCCGCACGCGCATGAAGGCAGCATCCTTGTGGCAGGGTTTTGATTGACCAAATGTCCTGTTTGTCACCTGTTTGTCCTATCAAAGGACAAACAGGCGACGATTTGCCGAGAGTTGTGTAAGCGCGGAGCACCGAGGAAATAAGAAGAGGCCCCGGAGCTCTGCCAGCAATTCTGAACCAGGCTTGAGGTGTTAGGCACCGTCGGCTCCATAGAATCCCGTACAGTTGCCCTGCAGAAGTTGGTTAATTTCCTGTTTTTCATTTCTTTTTTTGTAACTTTGATGTTCGTACTTATGTAACTTTTGTACAATCTGTAAAAACAAGTTTTTCTCAGCCTACTAGAACTTCTCCAGTGTGTCTGCTTTATCTTCAAGCGATCAGCAAATCAATCGCCGCTATTTGCATAGCGGCAGAATGTTTCTTCTTCCACTTTGCTATACCATCTTGGGTGGTGCGTCTCGGGCACCGAGTGGCGAGAGTTGGTTCCTAAATCGCAAAGAAACTGAATCTTACTAAAGCATGTAAGCAGATGACACGTACAACTCATTAGATGTGATGCACATTGCGGTGTACAGTTACCGAGATTTTTCAGTGCGCCATGGGAGCTGTCCAACTTGCACAGACACAGGAGATCCACACCCCAGGGCCACATATACACGTTATTTACAAGCTGTACACACAATGCGGTTCACTGGCAACGTGTGATAACAACACATAGTGTCATGCAATGAAGCTAAATGCCAAGTCAGATAAATGTACATTTGCCACAACCGCTACTCTGGGAAAGAGCAATGCAACAAGAGCTACTATGCCTGCAGGTGCCTCCTCATTCACCTTATTTAGGGTAGCTGGCTAGCCCAACTCGACAAAGCCTTCTTTCTCAGTTTATACTGAATATACACACATGCGTCAACAGCTGTAGCAGATTGTCCACATTCATACCAGAGGTGTGCCATTAATTAAAAGCCTACCTTTATAAACCTCTGCATCTAGTCTGGCCGCTACATAGGCTGCTACGTCTATGCACACTGCGAAAAGTAAGCTTCATAAAAGTGATAAGTTGTACATTGTGTTACCAAAGACCTCCCAAAAGAAACTAATTACTAATTAGGATTTCTTGCACTGCCGAAGTCTCTATGACAGCACCAGCACACCATAGGACAGGCTTTTTGTAGCCATTCCTCTTCTAATAGACCTTTTTCAAGCAATCCCAAAATGCCCTGTGGGCGGAAAAGTGTGTACACCAAGCAAGCCGACTGTTCTATCGGTCATTCGTCACTCACTGCGCCGTGAGAGTGCAAAACACAAAGAACGCGATGCCGCTTACTGACTGCTGTTAAAACCTAAATACTACACATGTCCGAAGGTGCCTGGATGTATCGCTATGTATGAAATGTGAAAAGAGTAATGCATTTAGTCAGTGTATAGCAGTTTAAGGGGAGATGCTGCTCGAAGACACTTTTTTTCAATATTCACCCTAGAGCAATGAAACGAGCTGTTTATGGAACTTTTTACGCTGATTTCAAATATACAATCAGTTTTCTTGCAAGTTGCATACTTTTAGCTCTGCAACATGACAAATAGAAAACCTTAACCCTTTTGCCCCCCCCCTCTTTTCGTCCCTTAACTTTCATACCTTTTTACTGTTGATAGCTCATAATGCTTCAAATAAAGTGAAGAATGCAAATAACTATCTAGGAAACGCATACAAAATATGTATAGAGGTCAAAAATAACAAACGTGAAAAAGTCCAGATTCCTCCAACCCTATTTCTCATACGCGGAACGTTAAGGAGCACTAGAATCATTGTGCACACAGGCACACGAGCGGGTTTGTCACGTGGTATTTTTTGTATTTTGCGGGCATTTGTAATTAACAGAAAAATACTAATACCTAACAGATATAAAGTTCTAAACTGTCTAATCAGACGTTCGCAAACTGATATACAACTTTCTCAATGAAATTTTTTATCTATCTTCGTTTCTTAAAAAGTTCGTTGATTAAACATATCCAATAAACAATATTTGAGAACACTGAAAATTGTCTGACTAACTCCAGGCAATGGTGAGCAACATGCATTTGGTCGCGTCGTGATTATGTGTTCTGGCATATTTTAAAACTCTGGCTAAAGTTACATGGGACACCCTGTATAGTACCACGATGTTATGGTATGCAAGCTACAAAATTCGTGATAAACTGAAAGCAAGCAAGTCCTTGGAAGCACACGACTGACCAGTCGGCTTGTTCAGGAGCGCATCATGATATGATACATATGAAAGTAATGGAGGCATCAAGAGGGAACTTTGATCATGTCCAAGCTCAACTACAGCCTTTTCCTCTTACCATGCCAGAGGACACGGTTGTTGTATTGCTTATGGGTAAAAGCCAACTAGAAAATCTCACTCTGTCCAATTTTTTGTAAAGACAGTGCTCCTACACTGCTAGCGTATGGCTTAGCATGCTGCTGCTACTACGTGACAAAATTATACAGATGGAAATTGCCCCAATTAACAGGTGGCAATCACTGAATAATGTTAACATTGAAAAATTAAAAAGAAGTGCTTTAACTACTATTTTGGGCTATCATATAGCACTTCAAATTAACATTGTGCAGACTAAAGCTTCCCTTTAAAACTGAAATACTGTAAAGGCACAAGCTTGCTGTCGACGTGGTATATTCTCTCGTATCTGCCAAGTTGTAAATCAATCTGCAAAGCACCCTGCCATCAACCTCAATGCCGCAGTACCTCGTTAAAGAACTTGTGAAGGCACTTGAAGTTCCAAATGGGAGAAATCCGTCCATTGTACTGGCGAATGGCTTTCTGAAGGTAGAAAAACGCAACACTCCATGAGCACAGAAACTTATGACACTAAAAAAAGGACTGGCAGAATTTTCTATTTAAAACTGTGACAAAATGATGCACAAGGGCGCCTGCTTAAATGTGCAAAGTGAACCTGTATACGTGGGAGAGCCATCTAGAGACACGCTTCGTAGGAATAAACTTATCTCTTACACCACTTCAAAAATTATGTTGTATGAATTGAAACCACTTGCAGTTCCCCTCGCATTTATGAGGCTTTGAAGGAACACAAAAGAGAAAAAAGAGATTTTTCAAATATTAGTAAAACACAATTTCACTGTCCCGAAAACACTACTCTTACCCCGAGACGAAGCTTGGTATGCGAGAAAATGCGCGAAAAAAAAATATATACATATGCTGGTGGAGACGCCACCTTGAGATTCCTGTACCAAATACCGTGATGTCATAGATTTCGACGCCGTCTACTCGGTCCCACGTGCTTCATAATCAGTGAAAATGAAGGACACTGTCATCTGTGGGTACCACAGGCCTTGAATACAAAGTTTCAGAAAGTTTCATCGAGCCTCTGTCGCAAAATATGAAAAAACAATTTCAAACTAGGGACGTCATGCGCAGAGATTTCGGCACAAAATTTAAAAAAGTAACTTCAACCTTGACTCTTTCCACTAATAATTAACTCATGATAGTAAAACTTGCGACATCACGGTTCTCAGAGTTCAGTTTATTCGTTTTGATCCATCTGAACACTTAACACGGTTGCAACATAGAAATTCAATCCGCCAGAAGCGGTTAGAACATAAAAACTGCCGAAAGGTGCATGCAACACGTGCTTGGTACTGGCGGGCAACCATAAAATACTAAACAGTTTAGCCATACGCAATAAACGTGTGCCGAGGCATTTGTTTATAATAGCAGTTAGATGTTCTGTCATTCTAAACTTGCTTTCTTTACAACTTTCATTCTAAACCTACATTTAAGAGCACGTATAAATTTGAAGCTTACCACAAGGCTGTAAGAGTCATTGATAGGCCCCAACAGTGTGTTTTCGATCAGCTCCCATCGGCTCCCAAGTTTTGTAATTCCATTGCTCTGTGATGGCAACAAAGCAAATGTAACCAGCAAAACAAAACAACTGACAGAAAAAGAATCAGAAGTTAAAGATAGTCACATTCAACTCGGGCATCTGTAAACACTGAAAGACTGGATCCTGAAAAAATCGTTTATCAATGTCACATACCCTCATTACTTCGAACAAATATAACAAAATGTGCAACAAGATTCGTTGATAACGCATGCTCGGAATGTGTGCTAAAAAGCTACAGTGTGAGAAGAGTATTTTTTTTTTGCCAACAAGATATTCTCTGTGCTCACAACATGTTGACAAACTATGACACCCCATTAAAAAGAGCTAAGTCACTATCAACATCACCAGACTGAAAGCCCCATTACTTCCTTCATTTGCTGTCAAATATCAGTCACACCCACTTCAGTGTTAATTTTCTTGTCATGAGGCATGGACACCGCCAGAGACCTTCTTTTGCGCAAGAAAAAGATCTGCTGGAAAATACTACACCATCAAGAATGCTAATATCCACTTGCACATGGCGCATTGTCCGGAAGAGGTCCTATATTACCTACCTTAAAGAGTATTGAGATGACGTTTCTTACACTTCCTTGAAAGCACCACTAACACCAAAATTTCAAACTTGAAATGTTTGTGTTGCTGTATTCTTTTGCATGCATAGACACCTATGACCGAGAATGAGTAGTAAACATAGCCTTGAACATATCGAGCGAAGGTTCTGCAAGTTAAAGATTATGTTGGCAATGGTGGCATAGTTTGCAAAAGAACCCAGCACCGTCGAGTGTCTGGATAGGCGGGTGCACACAAATGAGAAGGCTCACTGGTCACGTGCGTACTCATACACATCATTTTCCAAAAACTGATGCTCTCTCAATGGCGCACTTGTCTGCAATCAGCCATTATGACATGGATACATGATCTTTCATAGAGCTCATCTGTCATGTCACGTTACCATATTTCACTGTTGCCTTTCATTGTTTGGCACATAAATGACATTGTTGCCTGTAGCATTAGAAGTGTTACAAAGTTCGTAAAGGTTTCCAAAGGGAAAATTCCAGGATATTCAAGGGCTTTCCAGGACCTGTTTCAAGTCTTTCTAGGACTCAAAGCGGCATGCTAAGTTAGAATTCTTCCCTATAAAATTTTCAAAAGTGACCCAATTTCATTGCATTTATAATATATGAATATCGTAGTTATAAAAAAAGCGTAGTATTAATAACTTCTCGCACCCTCTCCATCGGGAGAGAGCACAATTTCACGTCTTAAAGTTACGTGCTGATGGCCTTCCACACACATCTGTAGCCAGTCCTTAAAGGGGCCATGCCACAATATTTGTGGCTTCAAACTTCACGCACCAAGATTAATTTATTCTCTCTATATAATTTGTTGCCTTTTTGATATGACACTTTTAAGTTCCTGTTTGTGGGGACTGAGTTGTGCAGTAACATAGCAGTATAGCTGACTTAGTCACGTTATCACAAAGCTTTGCACGCGACGTGCTGGATATTGTCAGCTCTCACACACATGTGCCACACAAGCACCTGCAAAACAAACTCGCCGCTACCTGCAGCCGCGATGCTTTACTGTTATGTACGGGACAGAAGTCCGTAAGTCACTCAGCTGACTACAGATCTGGTGTGACGTCACTAGAACTTTCTGTAGAGTTAGTCTGTGCTGGACGCGCTCGCGATCGGCCTCGATTAGGAGAATGAGCATTTAAGTACACTTGGGAAGTGACTTAAAATATATTCTTAAACCCACAAGGTGCTTGCTATAGCCTTGAAATTTGATGGCACCACTCCATCAAGAGTGCCGGCTTGTGCACAGTTGACACTCGCAGCACGTTGCTCAACAACCAAGACGTAACAACTGTGACAGTGGTTAATTTACACTCATCCTGCGGATACATGAGTGTTCTTTTCTAGCACCGTTCTTGGTTTGTTTTAGCAGTACGCTTCCAGTGTGGAGCTATGACAGTCGTTCATCAGCACTCATCCTGTGCGCTTTCTTTTCGTGCGTCCTTCGTGCCTGAGCGGCGCGTTGCATGTATGGGGTTGCTTAGCCTTCTTCGTGTGACATCTAATTTCTTGCCATCAAATTCACTGTTTCACCCTCGTCACAGACTAACTTTTTTTTTTCACATGCACTTTTGCAAAACGGGATCACGCCGCATTACTTCTTCAAAATTGGGGAGTTTGACAGGTTCACACACCTATGTACTACATTTAAGAGGTCGCAATGTCGATATGAGAGTGCACTGCACAAGTAATTCAAGGATTTTCAAGGATGGAAAAAATTTCAGGACTTTCAAGGGCCTTGAAAGTGCACTTTTAAAATTCAAGCGTTTTCAAGGATTTCAAGGACCTGTACGAACCCTGTGTTGTATTGCTAAGCACCTTCGTGAAGGTCTGGTAACCAGCATGGAGGAAGGAAAACGGTTAGGAGGGAGCATTAGGCAATGTGATAGAAAGAAAGAAAAATACAGTAGACTCGTTAAATGGAACCTGAAAGAAAGTGGAAAATGTGTTCCATTTAACAGGAGTTTTGTTCACCGAAAAATGAACAGGGGGGTGCGAAATACAAGTACTAAATCAGAAACAGTTGTTCTACTTAGGCAGCAATTCCATTTAACAGATTTCGGTTTACTGTGAGTCTACTGTGGTAGGTTAGGCATGCACACACTAAGCTTCGCTTGCCCCCATTTTCCTGTTCACATAATTTTTTACAATACAGCTCGGAAAAAAGTTGGCACAACGTAACCACATCATTCATCCCTATGACACATTTAGTGGCTGATGAAGCTTTCTATGATATTTTGCCTGTTGCGCAAGTATCCTTGACATCACAGACATACAACTTTCCGCCAGAGAAAGGTAGGAGGGAGAGGGCGAGGGGGCTGCACGCTACACAACTTTGAGCAGCCTTCAACATCAGGCTGCTTACACCAGTTGCATTTTAGGGAACATTACGAGGATTTTTTTTTGTTCTTTCAAAGGGGCTAACTTTTCAATCCTGAAATAGACGTATCACTGGTCATTGGGTGCTATATGGCCTAAACTAGACAGATGGTCCACCACTTGGCTTATATCGCAGGTACACAGTTTCATTCCTTACTCCATGGAAGGCCCTGGTTCGAAAAGCATGCGTTCAACCCACTGAATTTCGATGGCACTCCACAGCAGTGAGGTGCCAGTTGGTTGTACTTTTGGGTGAAAGTTTTAAAGTTGGAACAAAATTGGTCATAACTAATAAGATTAGCTATAATTATGTTTCCCTTTCGAGAATTTAGATTCAAATTTGTGATTGTCAGGTGCAGATGTACTTGCTAAAGCATAAAAGTCACAATAAAAATTTGACTGTCAGAGGCGACTGTCAGTGGTCCTCCAATGTCCCAAAACTCAAGAGACTATTCGAACTACTGGCAAGCACCAGTGTTTCAAATAACATATTGAAACAGTTTTTGTACAGTCAGTTGTAGTTTTGATTTTCAGGAGGGAAGTGACTTATGTGGTGATGCCAAAGGTGGTCATGTAAAAACAGGACGCAGTGTTGATTCGGTGTTCATGCCAGCTCACTCGTCCCCTCTGGTGCTGCTACTTGTAAGGCCTGGTGAAACAGCATAGCGATCGACTGATGAGCTAGAGCGAGTATTGAAACATTGCGATGCCCTGCTCCTGTGCGACCACTTTCTGAACCAAGAAAAACAAAAATTCTGAGGTTTTACTTGGCAAAGTCAAGATATGATTACGAGGCATGCCGTGGTAGGGGACTGCAGATTCAAAGGACCTTCTGGAATTCTGTAATGTGTACCTAATTTCAAGCACACGTCCAAGTTCGCAATTCACCGCAGTGAAATACAGCTGCCAAGAATAAAACTCGCACAGTTGTGGTTAGTGTCCGAACACCAAAATCACTAGAACACTGCAGCGGCTCTGCATCAGGACGATGGAGAAACAAACTGACTACAGAGAAGCTACCACAAAAATTACTAAGAATGATTCGAGACTCGCCAGTGCTTTTTGACATCAAGGCTTTTGTAAACGGAAAAAACTTTTTGAATCTCGCCATCTCCACGAAGTAAATGATGATGAAGGAGCTTGCTCAGAACTGATTGGTATAACTCGTGAATCCTCCGTGCAAGTCCTCTAAGATCGTATAAAGATGTGACATGTTGTTGTAAGTGTGATTCTATATACGGGGTTGTAACAGCCGAAATTGAATTTGGAGCAATTTTTGGAGCAGCAAAATGTTACTTTTGAAGCACAAAAATCCTAATTTGAAGGAGGTCACGAGGGGAAAAAAACAATTTTTTATAAGGAAAGACCTCATTTAGAGCAGTATAAAAAATAAGTATCTAAAAAAATGCACAAACAATTCTACATCCTTTAAATCCCGCAGAGTGAATATGAACACTGCTATTTCAATAGAAGTAGTATTTTGAACCATCCCACTCAGCAAACAATCATAAAGTGCACAATGGCATTTGCCCCACCTGTCAAATCCTTTGACAGACTCTAAAGATTAAAATGTGGGTTTGCCAAGCTGGTGACCCTGAGGTTGAGAGATTCATAAAACTGAGGAGTAGAGACCGTGAAAAAAAAAAGGTGGTGCACAGTTTTCTTTGGTATTGTAGGGCTGCAGCAATATCATACAGTGTCTAAATAATTGCCAGTAACATTTTTAGATGTCAGCAATTATATTAGTACTGATAATTATGTGGCATATACATGCATGAGTAATTGAACAAACTGTGCTATGTCCCATTACTATAGCACTAACAGCCCCTTCCATACCTTACAATGCTTTTCCGCAGGCCACCAATGTACTGCGGCAAAGGTGGCTTAAGTGGCGTTCTGCATAGGTTATAACAAGGCCAAGAAGTTTTCAAACCTCTACACTCCCCCCTCCCCTTTTTATTTTGATGATGGAGTTAGGTTTAGGCCACAACTTCTCAGCTTGCTTGCAAGATGCATTTGACTAGGTAAGGTAACACCAGATTGCGCCC